AGGGAAGCCTGACAGCGCATCCCATCCACACCTGTCCATCACACGGGCGACGGCCGATGGTCACAGCTTCCTGACTGACAAAGGCTCGGTGTCTCTTGGTGTCTTTTGCTCCTAAATACGCAGGTAAGTGGTAAGTAGCGTCGTCCCCTGGCAAGGTAGGCCGAGGACCCGCATTCCTTCCCACCCCTGAACCCCTGCACTATTATCTGCAGACTGCAGTTTCCCACAGCGCCGTCGCCGTTTCGATTAGCCCGTTGCCCCGTCAACATCCCAGAAAATTCGTTTACTTCGACACCCGGCAACTGCTCCACCCACTTTAGCACCCAACGTGTGCCAGACAGGGCCTTTTCGTTGCTTTCCAAGTGAGAGGAAGAGCGTGCATCTTTTTCACATCCATTCACGAACGTCATAAACACTCCACGGTAGATCCTGTGCGCCAGTGCAAGCACCCGTTAAGTACAAAGACCTGCTTCCTTCTCTGCATTGGGACCCAAGCCACAGACCATAAACCACCCACATCCATCTTCCTTCACCATCCCACTGCAGACCATCCATCCATCCATACACACATACACACACTTTGCGCCATCAGCTTCACGTCTCCTATACACGCATCGAACAGCAAAACCACCATCCGAGCATATAGCACAGCTCAGCATTGCGCATTGCATACAGCTCTCAAACCAAACCATCACACCACTCAACACTCAAGCAAACATGTCTCCCAACGTGCTCGGCGACAAGGACGTCAACGCCGCCGTCGTGGTCAGCGACCCTCAGTCCACCAAGGACCTCAAGAGCATGGAGTACCACCGCCAGGTCCTGCAGAACAAGATGGCCCAAGAGAAGTACGACAAACTACAGCCTCGCAGCAGTAACAAGAACAAGACCCTAAACTTCATTGTCCTCGATAGGTCCAAGACGTACATCTCGCCATCTGACAACATCATGAGCCCTTGCACCGCCAAGCTCAGCGCCCTCCGCAACAAGCAGGTTGGCAAGTAAGTCCTACCATCTTCCCACAACAACCGCGGGGTCTCCCGACATTGTCCAGTCTTGTCAAGATGCAACAAATACTAACCTCTCTATTCAACAGGGTCAAGCCCAAGTCCCTCTTCGCCCAGACTTCAGCCAAGAAGCTCAGAGGCGACGCCGCCGTGTTCGGCGACCAAGCAGGCACGCCCACCAAAGACAGTGCCTTCTAGGCAGCGTCGTCGCATCTTCTTCTGACCAAAACAACATAAAAGCTTCACTTCACTAATGGGATTGGCTCGCGGGTTGTTTTACTAGTTTTTGTCTCTTCCTTCTTTTTGGAAAAGGGACACTGAATTTGCGCCTCTGCTGGCTTTTCCAGGCTGTTTTTGAGGGTGGTATAGGGTTCATTGGCGTTTTACGGGTAGACCGAAGTCCGACTCCAGGATAAGGGGTTGGGTTGTACTACACCATGACATGACACGAAACGATATCAGGCTTTCTTTTGCTTTTCCACGACTAGGATTCTAGAAGGACTGTATTCATCAGCCACCGCGTTATTATCGGTCGGCATGAGCAGGAAATACAATTCCTCATAACCTTTTTAAACCCATTTCTTATCTTTTTCATCTGATGAATTCATTCCTCATGCCTTCCACGCGCTCACGACGCAAACCACATCCTCATCCGCCACCGCATGCCCGAGTCCCACTCTCTGCGGGATATGCCTGGCGCTCGCGCCCCAGACGAGTGCGTACTTGAAAGTATCCTTGAGCGTCCTGTGAATGCGGTCGCACACATCCTCAATGGTGCTATTGCTCCGCACGATGAGGGCCTCGCTGAAGTCTGGATCGGCGCCCTGGCGCTTGGTGTAGATACGGATGAGCTTGAGCTCCTCCCAGCAGCGGTCGACGACGTCCTGGATGCCGAGGTCGAGCTCGCACGACATGACGACGGTGTGGGGCTCGCGGGCGAGCTTGTCGAGGAAGTCGAGGGAGACGGAGTCGATCTTGTTGTAGACGTAGAGGCACTTGATGTACTTTCGGTGGTCCTTCATGATGACGTCGATGAGGTCGTCGACGGTGGCGTACTCGTCGCGGACGAGGACCTCGCAGTTTAGGATCTTGTAGTCGCGGAGGATGTTGAAGACCATTTTCTCGTCCATGTTTTTGGGAGGGGACTGGAAGGTGATTTTCATGCCGCCTGCTTTTTTGGCTTTGAGGTAGATGTTTCTGCCACGGGTTTTTGTCAGACCTGCCCTGAGCCAGAATTGAATAAGGTGAAGAGAAAGAAAGCATCCTACGGTGGCTCTCTGTTGAGACGGATGCCCACGGCCTCCAATTCAGCCTCGAGCAGCGCCCTCTGCTCTGCCTTCTTGGTCGCGTCCAGCACCATGAGGATCATGTCGCTCGTCTTGGCCGCCGAGATGACCTGCCGTCCTCTACCCTTGCCCTCGGCGGCGCCCTCGATGATACCCGGCAAATCCAGCAGCTGGATCTCGGCGCCGCCGTACTCGAGAACGCCCGGGATGGCTGTGAGCGTCGTGAAGGCATACGAGGCCACCTCTGATTTCGTCCGTGTGACTTTGGAGAGGAAGGTGGATTTGCCGACCGAGGGGAAGCCGACGAGGGCTATCCGAGCGTCGCCGGATTTGCTGACGTCGAAGCCTGCGCCGCCGCCGCCGCCTGCCCCTGGGCCTGGTTCGAGGAGTTGTGCTCGGAGACGGGCGAGTTTACTAGTTTTCAGGTGTGAGAAGGGGTGCTGAGTGGCGGTGGTGATGATGACTTACCCCTTTAGAAGACCAAGATGATATTCTTTGTAGGGCTGTTGTCAATAATGGTTCGTTGCTTGGTCCGGTTAATTCACAAACGTACCAGTCGCCTTGTTCTCTATGGGATGTTAGCAAGAATTCTATCCGAATGCAACATTGCGCTCAGTCGTCTCTCTCCGGTCATGACCACGATCAACTTGTAGAAAGGCCATTCTCATTCTCCCGTTGATCCTTCGAGTCTCTCTAAGTTGGCCAGAATGCAGATGAAGTGACTTTTGAGAAATGACCCGAAGGCATGAGTGGATGCGTCTTACTCTGGGTCTTTCTCATCTCATCCTCAATCCTAGTGGCGCATCATCAGCCTCCCGCTCGCGTAGATTTCGTCGTGGCGATGGTGGGGGTTTCGTACTCCTTGATCTTTTCCGTAATGTTCACCATCTTGGCGATTTATGAGCTCAGAGTCTGAAGACTCTGACAAATCCTATAAATCAAAAAGATGGTGATGAGCAATAAGCGCTTCGCTTTCTGATCGACGAGAGGCGGCTTCGCAAGATCATGGTGGGGCAGGTCGGCCTCTCAAGGCATAGGAAGACTGAACCGTGTGGCAGAATTTACCGCGGGGCTGCGTTGGAGCGACAGGGGTATCCACTCACCGCCCTCGAACCACTGAGGACGGGATGTGCGCGCCATGGCTTGCGCCACAGCTTTATCGCGATAACAAATTTCCAAGCCTCGCCGCGCGCGTTCACTGTTGCCCCGTCGTCGACATCCATCCAAAAAGCACCCATCGACACTCGAGCTAACCCACCAGCTCTCTACCACGCCATCCACCGCATCGAAATCTTCTCCCAAGATTGCAATCATGTCGGACGAAGTCGCGCAGGCACGACCCGAGGAGGTCGACGGACCAGAGCCCGAAGACAACGCACAGGAACCAGCGACAACCACCACCGAGGTCGCCGCGCCGACAGAAAGAAAAGTAAAAAAGATCATCAGGAAGAAGAAGAGGCCGGCGCGCCCGCAAGTCGACCCATCCTTCATCACCTCGGAGCCGCCGCCGCAGACGGGAACAATTTTCAACATCTGGTACAACAAGTGGTCGGGCGGCGACCGCGAGGACAAGTACCTCTCCAAGACGCACGCAAAGGGCCGCTGCAACGTCGCCAAAGACAGCGGCTACACGAGGGCCGACAAGGTCACGGGCAGCTACTTTTGTCTGTTCTTCGCGCGCGGCATATGTCCAAAAGGCCAGGACTGCGAGTATCTGCACCGCCTGCCGGGCATCCACGACATCTTCAACCCTAACGTCGACTGCTTTGGCCGGGACAAGCACTCCGATTACAGGGACGACATGGGTGGCGTCGGTAGTTTCATGAGGCAGAACCGCACGATTTACGTGGGAAGGATACACGTCACGGATGATATCGAGGAGATTGTGGCGCGTCACTTTGCGGAATGGGGGCAAGTTGAGCGAGGTGAGTTTCTGCAGGAAGTCTGCACCGCATCTCTGGGAGCAAATACTAACTTCTTTGCTTCTAGTCCGCGTGCTAAACACTCGCGGAGTCGCATTCATAACATACTCCAATGAGGCCAACGCGCAATTTGCCAAGGAGGCAATGGCGCACCAGTCCCTGGACTACGAGGAGATACTCAACGTGCGATGGGCGACCGCGGACCCGAACCCGATGGCACAGGCGCGCGAAGCGAGACGGATCGAAGAGCAGGCCGCCGAGGCCGTCCGGCGCGCGCTCCCCGCGGAGTTCGTGGCCGAGATCGAGGGCAAGGACCCGGAGGCCAGGAAGAGGAGGAAGATTGAGAGCAGCTACGGGCTCGAGGGCTACGAGGCGCCGGACGAGGTCCATTTCGCGCGGGGCGCCAACGCTGTGAACCCCGTCGGCCGCGAGGGCCACGAGGTGGAGTACCAGGAGCGGCCTATGCTCGAGAACGGCGGCCAGGAGCAGTACGATGGGTTGCCTATGCTTCAGCAGCAGCCGTCGATTGTGTCTGGCGGGATCTTCTCTAGCAGCACACTGGCGGCCCTCAACGCGTCCAAGGTTGCTGTGGCGTCGAAACCAAAGGTTGCTGTGTCTGCTGGGCCGTTGGTCGGCTACGGCAGCGACGATGATTCCGACTGAGCCTTGGATTGGATTTGTACGATTAAAAAGGGGCAAGGAGAAGAGAGAATAAAAGCGATCATGATACCCCATTTGAAAATGGAAACACATCAAAGTAGAGAAGCCGAGTGAACAAGAAAATATCAACTGTTGAATATTCGCGAATACAGAACCTCGTGTCTGCCTATCCATAGATCCATCACCGGCATCGTCTGCCCGGCCCTCTCGACGGGTGTGCTCCACTCCCGCTCAATGGCGGCGGAGATGAGTTGCTGGACCTGTGTGCTTGCAAGCACCTTTTGCGCTTGGTAGGGACCAAACATGCTGGCTCTCACAGCGGCCGAGATGAGGGCCTTGACGTGGCCCATCATGAAGATGTAAGCCGTCTGCTGGAGGGTGAGGCCTACGAGGTTGCAGATTGCGCCAAAGAGGGGAGCTAGGTGAGCGAAGACGGGCGGGGGTTCAGCCTGGTCGTCTGCAGTCGCCGACACTGACCGCGACGAGGTGGCCGTCTTGAGTAGCGCCGCATACGGCTGGAGAGTCGCGACGACGGGCGCGGGGAGGGAGGAGGCGAAGGAGCGTTCCCAGATGGAGAGGAGGGCGCGGCCCTGGGCGATGGAGGCGCGGCGGCCGACGGTGCAGATGATTGCGGCGTCGAGTTGGTCGTCTAGGTCCGCGACGTCGGAGGGCGAGCGGTGCGCTGCTAGGACGAAGGGCAGCGTCGTCGAAGCGTAGGCGGAGATGGATTCCGGGAGGAAGGTGTTGAAGGAGGAGCGGGGCCGGGTGTGGGCTAGGTAGGACTCGAGGCCGCTGCTGAAGGCGAAGGAGCCGAGGGGCAGGGCGGAGTCTGAGAGGAGGAGGAGGTAGTGGTTTGTTTGTGAGGGAGATGGTGACACTGGGTTTCTGTGTTAGTTGACTTGAGTTGTGAATGGTTTTTGAGATGTCTCATGTTGAATATGTGTAGTTGGGGTTGGACTGACATGAGGGTTTTGATGAGAGGCCTCGAGACGGTAGAGATTCGACGGGTACGTTTATATGTCCTTTGAGACCATTCAACTTTCCCCTGGCAGCCTTGAGGCGTGCTTCCAGTTCCAGGATCTCTTTTTCGGCATCGTCGACAGATCCATCCCGCGCCATCGAAGTCATTGCGACAACCTGCAAAAGCCGTCTGAAGAATAAGACTCGATGTTGCAGTTGATAAGCTTCCGATAGCGGGAAAGGGTCCCTGCAGGATCGGGGGAGGTGTCGTTCAGGGGCTGCATCGAGCCTAGGCGCTCTCCCACTGCAAGGATGGCCGCGCCGCCGGGGCACTCTGGGACTTCTCGCTGCAGGGATTGTCTTCGGCGTCTGCTCTCGTCCCACCCGCCCGTACCAACTTGCTCACCTCGGCGATTGATGGAGTAAAAAAAGAGAAGAGCTTCACCTTTCACGCCTTACAAGGTAGCTATTAGGAAGCCCGCCCGGTGAAAATCGTACGATCTCACCAATCATAAGCCTCGAGTTTTCATCGGTTCTGAATATCTTCAATTGCATCTCTCCCCGTCATCGTCACCTTCATCCGCAGCACTTTCACGGACCACTGAGGTCTCGACGTCATCAACTCTTTCTCCGCAGACACAGACCGGCGCCCCGGTCGACAATGCCAGCGGGATGGCAACGCATGACAAGATGAAGAGCGCCGAGGCCGATGACGCCGCGTGGGAAGCTACCCGGGGAGCCTTCATCGGCGCCGCGAGATGGGGTCTGGGAGCCGCCGTCGTGGGTGCCTTTGCGTACAAGTTCTCGCCTCTGTACAAGGGCCTCACCATTCAGTTCAAGATGTAATACGTCACCTCACGCGACACAACCCAAGTCACCCTTACCCTTTTACCCCCCCTTGTCCTATCTCACTCCCTCGTTCATTCACTTCGTCTCGTAGTATTGGATGAGATGTAACTGACATAATCACGGCAGCTATATGCAAATGTCGGCCATGGTGCTTGGAAGCATGCTGGAGGCGGACAACAGGTTACGAGAGTATGAGGCCCGGGTCAGATTGCAGAAGCGCATTCTGAGGGATAGGGCCAAG